CAAGTTTGAACACCCCTGGGTTTTTTTTTCTAAAGGGTTAGGGGTACAAGGGTCTTTAAGACTTGCGTGCTTCAAATGCCAGAGTTTCTGAGACAACAGTTTGGTTGCTAAGCAAGAATGTTGTTAAATGAGTTTCATCACATTTTACAAGTTGGTCACGCCCATCCAGTCACATGGCTGGCAAGCCACTCCCACCCAGTCACATGGCCAGCAAGCCACTCCCACAAAGCAGGCCACACCTACAGAAGAGGTTCTAAATTTTTTTGAAACCCAGCACTAGTCACCACCATCTCTTTCGCCATTCAAGAAAGCCCCCAATACCTGGCTATTCTGGAAACTCTAGGATCTGAAAACTCTATGGAGATTCTCAATCATGCAGACTTTCTTGGTGTTTTCCCCCCAAAAAGAAACTGGACTTTCTTGGTGTTTTCTTTGAAAATGTTTAGCTTCTCATCCTAGGAGCGTCTCTTGTTCAGAACTGAAGACACTTCTTGGATGAGAAGTGATATGTTTCCAAAGAAAACACCAAGAAAGTCCAGTTGCTTTTTGGAAAAAGCACATTTAGAATGTAGGAGTGATAGTATGCAGATCCTCTTCTGGAAAAATGTGGTTCTTGTTTTCATGATTGTTTCTTCATTGTGTTAACCAACAGGAAGGTTTAATGTTGTTACCGAGTTTGGGTATGTGTGGTTATCTTAACTGAGCAGCATATAAATGAAAGTAATTATATACTGTAGCTCTCATCACAAGCCTGGATTAGGCTAGTTGTAGGAGATGAGGTGGCTCAGTGGCTATCAGTGGCAATTAGCAGTTTAGCGGTTCGAATCCCTAACACTACGTTAACGGAGTGAGCTCCCATTACTTGTCCCAGCTTCTACCAACCTAGCCATTCGAAAGCACGAAAAATGCAAATAGAAAAATAGGAACCACCTTTGGTGGGAAGGTAACAGCGTTCCATGCGCCTTCGGCGTTTAGTCATGCTGGCCACTAGACCACAATGTCTTTGGACAGCGCTGGCTCTTCAGCTTTGAAACGGAGATGAGCACCAACCCCTAGAGTCAAAAACGACTAACCTTAAGTGATGGGAGTGTGTTTCTACTATGCCTTACAAGCATCAAGAGAAGCAATTTACAAGTATTTTGGCTGCAATTGGCAAAAAAAGCTAAGGGCTATTTCAGACCCAGAAAACTAACCAGATCAGGCAGGATGGATATAAACTGGTTACAGTGCAACAGCTTACTGGGTTATGTTCCCCCATATTTGGAAAAATATGTACAGTATAGTTTCCAAGGATTTGGGTAACTTTATAGAACAGCATGTAAACATGGAAAACATAACCTTTATACATTTGAACATTTCTGGAAGCTAAATGACTATAAGACTGTATAAAGAAACCTTAAAATGAAAGCCTTTTAAACAGATTTTTGGATGAACAACCTTCATATAGCCAATATTTTTTCTAAAAGTTTTGGAGTTGTCTGATTTTTATTTTATTTTTTTGTTATGTACAATGAACTATGGAAAAACCTTTTTGTGAATCTTTTGTTTCAAAAATACCATTCTTTCCAGAGCACAAAGTATGGTATCTGCTAATTCTGTCATCTTGTATGGATTGAAGAAAAGCAGCAGCTTCCTCAAAAACCTAGAAGGTATAGAGAAGACTTTACACGGCAGAAAGTCTCTTACCCCAAACTCCTTGCTTCAGTTGACACCAGTGATGAAAGTTTGATTTTTCCTCCTTTTTTAACCAAGTTGATGAGCCTGTTTGTAAATCTATTGATGTATTTGCTATAAATGTCATAAACTAACACATGTGCTAATGTAGGTAAGATGTTGGCTATTTCTCCCATAAGATGTATGAATACTTTATAATAAACATTTCTACTGTTTTTTTACTGCTGTATTTGATAATAATAAACTCAGATCCTAGTAACTTGAGGGATTCTTTCTTGGAAAAATAAATGTGTGGTTATTCATTAGTTTATGTCAAATACATTTCTTTTAAAATAAAGCTATACTTATTAGGTTGATTATTATTATTATTATTANGGGAGGTCTTATTATTTTTGAGGAGCAGAGGAGGCAGCGAGCGTGGTCACCTCATGGCTGCTGCTGTGTTGCAATATTTTCGGGGAGGGCTTATTTTCAGGGAAGGGCTTATTTTAGTGCATGCGCTGAAAAGCCCGATTGGGCTTATTATCCTGGGAGGTCTTATTTTGGGGGGAAACAGGATAGTTTCCATCCATATCTTCTTGTTCTGCCTTCTGGTGCTTTGGCAAATAGGTTGACCCCATTCTTCTTTATGACAGCACCCAGATATACAGTAGGTCACTTTTTTCCCAATGCTGTTGTAACTTTCAACAGTGACTAAACCAATGGTTGTAAATCAAGAACTACCGTACATGTAATTGCTTTAGTCTGGCAGGATTCTGTCTGTAGGAGAAGAACAATGAAGAAAGCACTCAGAAGTAACCCCATGTGTGCTTCTTAGTACTCTGGGTCTGATTCAGAGGTGGGTTCCTACCAGTTCGCACCTATTCGGTAGAACCGGTTCGCCAAACATATTCTTATGCATGCCAGTCCTTGGTGCTCTCTGAGCTTGGTTGTTTTCTTCCAGATGTTTCATTACCCAACTAGGTAACATCATCAGTGTACAGCCAAGCTCCAAGGATCCCGCAGTCCAACCCTTAGCTACGAATATTCTCTTCTACTAGCTGGATACCCATGCTCTGCTACGAAAACTACTGTATGTAATCGGGCTCCTCTCCACTCTCCTTCTCTCCTTCAGGCTTGCCCCCACAGAGTCTCTCCTCTCCTATACCCCTTCTGTCCCTCAGGCTGGTCCCATTGGCCCTCTTCTATCCCCTTCTCTCCCTCAGGCTTGCCCCACAGAGACCTCTCCTACCTTATCCCTTTCTCTCCCTCAGTCTAACTCCCTAGCATCAGAGCGTGTTAATAATAATATAAGAAATACTAATGATCTGATGGTCATTTCGAAAAATCCTTTCTTAGCGAGCACCTGGAAGCCAAGAGGAACACACGTGCCAAGTTTCAAGTTTGTAGTTCTGGAGATTTCTTGATGCTGTGTGAGTGGTATTTCGCTTATATAAATATATACAGATTGCAGAGGTGGGTTCCTACCAGTTCGCACCTATTCGGTAGAACCGGTTTGTCAAATCTACCGAACCGGTTAGAAGAGGTTCCACCAGTGGACCCGGAAAGCAGGCCACACCTACAGAAGAGGTTCCAAACTCTTTTGAAACCCACCACTGGTCCTTGGATATGATTATTCTACACTATCATGCTCCTATTTATAAAACTCAGTGCCTCTGTGAAAGGGAAGGATGACTACTGCGTTTGTGGTGCAATCAGAACATTGCGTGTGTTGAAGTTGTTTTAACGCAAACCAAAGATGCCTTTTAAAAAACAAGTTTACATCATATTCTTATGCACGCCAGTGCTGTGTGTGAGGTAATTTAAGGTGGTTCTGACAAGTGTCGTTGGCATCTTCATATCCGGTCACTTGGGTGACAAGCCACTCCCATCCGGTCACATGGGCGGCAAGCCACTCCCACAAAGGAGGCCACACCCACAGAGTAGGTTCAAACAATTTTTGAAACCCACCACTAGTCTGATTGTAAGCAATGAAGTGGTCCTTAGCTTGTCCTTCTCTTCTTTCCTAGATGATGGTCACCATTATCTGTAGATGCTGGGACAGTGTTAAAAAAAAAACAAGATCTGGATCATTGAGCAATTATTATTGTTATTACAAGTGTAGCTACACACCGTAATTCAGCTGCACAAGTTAATATCGTTCTGCTCTCCAACGGCAGTCAAAACAGAAACACAAGAGATGCCGAACAGCCTAATAACTTGTGATAACTTCATGCCTCAGTGCTTTAACCTCTGTGACTTTTTTAAAAAAAAACTAATTCCAAGTGCATGGCCTTTTTTTTTGGGAGAACATCAACATGCAAAGGGTTATTTCCTTGGAAAAGCAACTCCTCTGAGAGATTTCTACACACTGTACTGTAAATCTATTTTTTTTACCCAAGTGTATTTGAGGAAATAAGTTAATCCTAAACTTATTTCGCTTCTGTGTACAGGATCGTATCAGGGCTAAGTATAATTGCATATGGCAAGTACATTGAAAAAGGTTGAGGCTTTAGAAAGTGCCAAGAGGAGCAACCAAGATGATTAGGGGACTGGAGGCTAAAACATATGAAGAATAGTTGCAACAGTGCTGCAACAGATTGAGGTTTGTAATCTACTTACGAAAGACCAGGACTCGATACCACGAAGGTGAGAGAAACAGGTTTATTTGATGCATCGAGTTCAGCGTGTTCACACACCAAAATCTGAACTGCCTGGCCTCTGCCCAGGATGCTACTTTTATGCCGTGTTCCACACTGTGCATTCTCAAGGCATTTCCATACACGAGACAAGCATGACATTTCGAAAAGGAGAAGTTCATTTGGAATGTTACAGAGACGTACATAGGAAAAATACAAGAAAGAGAAGTTCCTATAATGTCTTAAGCTGTCAGCAGTTTTTACCTCTGTTCTATCTCTCACCCACGCCTGGCTTCCTGTGCCCCTCCTTTACAGGGTCTTGCCACACTGTTCAGCCCTATTTTTAATACTTATGAGGAAGTTGGAGAGAAAGTTTACTCCAGCTAAAAGTCAACTTTGGAACTCCAGGGCACTAGAATGAAAAGCCAAGCTAATATGAATTTATAAGGTCCATTCTAGTAAGACCACCTAACCTGGCCAGCCACTGGTGGGTTTACCTGTGCACCCCCTCCTGCATCAGCAGGAATTGATGATGATCACTGATGATGTTACCTAGTTTGACTAAGGAAACATCTGCAAGAAAACAACCAAGCTCAGAGAGCACCAAGGATCCAGTGGTGGGATTCAGCCAGTTCGCACCTATTCGGGAGAACCGGTAGTTAACTTTCTAAGCAATTGGGATAACCAGTTGTTGGAAGAAATCTTCTTTTGTTTTTTTTTCCCACTCTACAGGGCTAATCCTGTAAGGAAGGCAGGAAGGAAGGAAACATTCTGGTGCTGTTTCTAGCCTCATCTTTATTGCCCTGCTTACAGAAACTGACTCTCCGGTTAACCCTTATTACATTCTAACAGCTAAGGTGAAGCGCCCATCGACCTGAGTGGTGCTAAGTTGGCCACACCCACCCAGTCACATGACCACTGAGCCCCGCCTACCCAGCTGGTTGTAAGGGCAGAGAACTGGTTTTTAAATTATTTGAATCCCACCACTGCAAGAACCCCTCATTTCAACTCTGAGCTACAAATATTCTCCTTTATCGACGTTCATTAAACTAGGAAGGGCCAGAAGAAATTAAGATATGCACAGCCCTCAGAATCCTTGGGAAGGATCTAGCCACATGGTTCATTAAAAGAACGCATGTTTAGAAAGCTGAAATGCACAGCTGGGCAAGATATTTATTCAAAATAACCTGCTAATCCATGCAATGTTCTCGGGGAGCATGGATGATAAAATAATGCAATCCTGAGTTACTCAGAACCGGGTCCAAGCAAAGTCACATTTAAAAAAAACAAACGTGTAAACAGAATGCAGGCAGATGGTCTCCAGGCCTGGGTGGCATTTAATAAATAAAATGTCTCCATGGAGACACGAGCAATTAATAGACAGACATCACTCCATCCTTCCTTATCCATGTGACCATCAAACTGACAGTTTTAATAGCGATTCCTTCCTTCCTCGGTAAGAAGAATGGGATTTATCAGTCTGTGGCTTAAAACTTTTGGTTTTTTTTCATTCATTCATTCATTCATTCATTCATTCATTCATTCATTCATTCATTCATTCATTCATTCATTCATTCATTTATTAAATATATTTATATGCTGCCCAATCCCGAAGAGACTGGACAGCCACTTGTCTGAAATGGGATAGGATCTCCTGCTTGAGCAGGGGGCTGGACTAGAAGACCTCCATGGCCCCCTTCCAGCTCTATTCTGATTCAATATTGTCGTCCTTGAGTCCCTCTTGTGCTGGGATCTTCCAGCTGCTTTAGCACAACATGGCTGTTTGCCAATTCAGTGCGACTCAAAGCCCTCTAAAGCAAACAGACATAATAGCACCCTAGGTTCAAAAGATAACAGAGTACAATATTTCCCCCCGGCAAATTTGGAAATAATTGTTTAGGACAGAGAAACCCTGATATTTCTTTTCTCTCCTGCAAACTCCGAGATGCATTCACACGCCCTGTGGAGAGAAACTAAGCAGGATCTGCCTGCATATAAAATGTTACGAAACTCCCAAGGGATGTCCAGTCCAATTATGTGCATTTGTTCATAATTCCACTGGTCACTTGGAAGTAATGTGGGGAAATTGTGTTTTTCACATAGCCTCAGTCCTTACTTTTCTCATCGTTCTTTTCCACCCATGCTTTCCTTCTCCTTTATCCCTTCTCCTCCTCTTCCACCTCTTTCTCCACCTTCTTCTTCTATCTCCTCTTTTTCCATGTTCATCACCATCATCTCTCCCATCTTCTCCTCCTCCTTCTTTTTCCAATGCCACTGCCATCATCTCTTTCTCCTTCCCCTCTTCCTCCAACTCCTCCTTGTATCTCCATCTCCTACTTCTCTCTTTTTCCTCTTTTTCCATCTCCATTGCCATCATTTCCTCCCCTTTCTCTATTTCCATCTCCTTCTCTCTCTCTCTTCTTTTTATCTCCTTCTCTTTTTCCACCTCAATCGCCATCATCTCTTCCACTTCCTCCTCCTCCTTTTCCATCTTCTCCTCCTCTATTTCCTCCATTGCTTTCTCCATCTCCTTCTCCTCCTCTTTCTGCATCTCCTCCTCTTTCCTCTTTGCCATCTCCTCTTCCTCCTCCTGCCTCCACCTCTTTTTCCATGTCCATCCCCGTCATCTCTTCCTCCTCCTCCTTCTCTTTCTCCATCTCCACTTTCTCCATTTCCTCCTTACAGTGGTGGGATTCAAATAATTTAACAACTGGTTCTCTGCCCTAATGGCCAGCT